AAAGCCAACGGCAATTTAAAAGTTGAGTGAGAAAATTTAAGTTAGCAATTTTTTAAAAATAAATTTTATTGTTAAAGATGCATTTGAAGTCAATTTTTCTGGGACACAAAGGTCCAGAAAAATACCAAAGACACACTTCATATAACCAAAAGATGATATTTTAACAGATTTTAGTGCGTGCCTTTTGTGTTGTGTATAAGTAAAGCAGATAAGTAGGTCAAATTCACGGAAAAAAAATTTGAAGAAAGTGCAGTTTAAGCCTCTTTTATGGCTGATTGAGTGATAAATTCAGTTTATCTTTTGGCATCTCTTATTTGATTCATATAAGAAACTAGTAGAAGTGGTTTATATGCTCCCAGGCTCCACCCATGCTTGGTTCAAATGTATACCTTTTAGTGTATTTAATGCTAGCATATTTTTATATTGCTAAGAAACTGAGCAAGTTGGAAAAAAAAGATAATCTAATACCTTTTTGTACAATGAGCTTACCCAGTTAAAGGGATAATAACTCTTCGTTTCAGCCAAAAAATGAATTTTCCTGGAGTAAACAACAATTTTCCCATACTTATCAATGGTTAATGAATCCATTTTTACATTCAAAGTTAGTCCCTGGTTTTTTTCTAAAAAGTTTGGTTTTTTGTTAAAATCTCTTAAGAGATTTTAACAGAGTATAGCCATCAATGGAGGTAACGTGGTCTAAAGACAAGCTCAGATATCAGAAAAAATAGCTATAACTACCGTTTTTGTGGTAAAACAAAATATATTATATTTCTATGAGTTATTCACAATGTCTTTATTGTGAAATATAGATATCATACGAAGAGTTATTATCCCTTTAACAATAAATTATTCTTATGCTGATAACAAATGATTTGGTACAACCCCTTTACAACTCTCTTTCTCTCTCTACATCAACATGCGCATACACCCACATGCCATTTAAAACAACAGGCAGTTCACGGTATCTTTTGAGTTTCACTCCATCACTACATATTTACACCACATCTGCTTCAAGAATGAAATAATCAGTTTATATCCAAGCTGTACAACAGTACGCTATCTCGTGGACCATATTGATGTTTCGTCTATCTAAATTATGGGCTCTTTAACAAATGATGATAGAAATGACAATTCAGTATTGACTTACTGCCAATTATGAATATTAGGTTGAGCATCAACTCTCTGCCCTGTGAGTTGCATGTCAGTATACAATATGTGTGAAATGAGACAAGATGAGTGGTCTCTAAAACTATCGAGGTACATGACAATAGTCTGAAGGTTCAATGGTTCAAATGTTCACTTTTCTTTTCACTGTCCATGAGCCCTTTTATAAAAAACTGATGTAAATGTTATGATTTTTTTAGACCAATGACCTTTGGGTGTATCTAAAAGGTGCTGCTTTAACATATTATGCTTATCCCTTTATTTTGTTTTAATAATGACAATTATATACTTTTTAAAGATTGCTTATGTCTTTGTAATTGTACAAGAAACATAGGCTTGAATAAAAAGATAATATCATATTAGTTAAGTTGTTGTCGCCAGTCCATGATATTAAAAAAAAAGTACAATAACTATAATGAATTTTAGCTATTAACTTTGTAACCATCCCCTAACCCCACCCCTAAACCATACTTGATATCAAAGGCGAAAAACAGCAAATCCACATTGGCATGTGATATGACAAATAAGAGGTCATGATAAAATTATCAGTAGATGCTAATTTGTGATGGAACGTTCCCATTGTAATCAATCAAATTATTTCTAAATTATTCTAGACGGAAATCTCTTCTTCCTGTGCCAGCTATTATTGTCCTGTTGTTCTCGTGTTCAGAGAAACCTTACGTGATGGAGAGCTCAATATTGATGCGCAGTCCAAGATGTTTCGGCATCTGAAATCTTCAGAAGTGGTTACACGGAATACTTCTATTTTTGCCATAAGCAAATAAAAAAAAAAAATTGGTATCTTTTTCACATTTGTGTCATCAAATAATACATAACAGACTTTGCCATGACTGACATGTGCTGAGGTATTTTTTATGCTCTTATATATCACTCGTAGGCGTCTTGATTTGTGTCAAGATTTTATAGATCAGATTCATCTTTTTTTTCATATTGTAAAATGAATATAGTACTACATTTTGTAGATTATCTGGTGAAAAAATTAGGATGGAACATGTAATGAATATAGTGGCTTTATTTGTCATTTGCGAGTGTTGATATTGATCAATAAATGCCTTAGAGGATTTTGATAAAAGCTGACATTTTTTTCTCAAGTGATGGGCCATGCCAGTTTGCAGAAATATTGAGCCTTGACTTCACTTGGCTGTATTTTTAGAGACACCTTTAATAATGCAGCCATAACTAAAATTTTTCAAGTGCCTTGCATATTCCACTACTACTATTTAACTTTACTATTTCTAGTGCACCAAACAGACTCTTCAATTTTTTTGTGTTCCTTTTTCCAGATTGTTTCTATTCCATTATGAAATATTTTAATACACAAGGGTAAATTAATTTTATGCCCATGCAGTCATTGCCCAACAATTCCTAGTGTCAACTTTTCTGTTCATTCGAAGTACTTTGTATGCTTTGAAAATTTAGTTTTGTTGAATTAAATTATGTTTCAGTATGGTATGCCTTATGATACTAATGATATTTAGTCAAAATATGTTTTCTCATACAAAATCATTGTCCCCTTTGATTGCCATTAAAAAAAAGGAGGGAGGATATATAGCTACAGTTTTCAGCAGATGGCACTCAAAACGTACTGCAGAATACAGCTCCAACGAATATAGATCAGTGGATTTCTCTCTTGTGTGCTTTTCTCTTCAAGGAAATATCACAGCTCTTTCATAGGAGTGAGTTTGCATTATACAAGATTGTAAATCAATGCAACAGCTTTTCTTTCTTTTCATTGATATGCATATGCTAGTCCTAGCTTATTAGTGACTTAAGTCTCACAATCTGGATAATATGAAATTGATTTTTTGCTGTCCATTTGGTTCTATTGAGAGTGGTTCAAATAAGACCGGGAATCTGAATTATTGTAGTTGTTTTTGAGATTGCAGTAGAAGAGTTAGGTGATACCCAATAGTGTTTGTCCAAGAATAAAGTAAATTGCGTGGATTATTGAAAGCATATTGTGGGATTATTGACGCCAGTGTCGTCAGTTCTGAAAGGAGAGAATAGGCAGGAGCTGTCAGTAGATGCTGACTTTGATGTTATGCACCGAGCCCTCATTGATCCTGGCCATCTAGGAAGCTTGAATATATTACACCCAAGACATTTTCTACGAAATCCCACACAGGCAGCCATATACTCTTTCAGAAACTCTGATTTTTATAGCGCTTTTAGATAAAAGGTTTCATCCAGCTTTTTGTCCAACAAAATGACTTACTCATTTAGTGTAATTACTGGATCTTCCCAGTGGGCAATGAAACTTCCAGGTACATAATTTTATAATCACTAGAATTAAATTTCTATATAGCATGTGGTGCACTTACTGCAAAGAATAGATCTATAGAGAAGCCTGCTTTTTAAATTTTCCTTCTACCACTCAACAGGGATGCTCTAATTTGGAGAAATTATGACTTGAAAAAAAAAAAAAAAAAAAAAAACAGTATCTGAACAATTCACAATTTTCACTCACTGAGAAGATCAAGTAATTATTGTATATATTCTTTGTTGAAAAACATGGAAAATTTTTTTATAATGTTGAAAAACATGGAAAAATTTTTATATATAAAATATGAAATTGTTCCCTTGGTTTTCTTTCTTTGGTCAGTCTGATAATCAGATGTATTTTGTGAAAAGGGTGAATTGTATTTTCATGTTTTGATGTTTTTACTAGCACTTCATTTTAAACATTTGAAAATCAGTAATTTTTTGGAACTGTAAAGTCACAATCATGCACCAAATACCTTTACTATAATTATAATCTGCAGCGAACTATTATGAAATCTTAATATATATATCGACCCCTGTTACCAAAGCATAATTCTAAGAATTCAAACATACAAACAAAAAACAAAGGGCTTTTTCGACAAGACAACAGAAATGCTATGACATTTTCCGTCGCGTTTTCACTAACAATGTGGCTGCCGACAGCATGCACCAACTCTGGAATACGTAGAAACGTGATGTAAAACATTCATCACGCCAGTTTTGTTTATTTTCAGTGGTTGATTTTGCATCACGATCTTCCAAGTATATTTAGTGTATAGTTCCTTATTACAAAAACACCCTTCATAAACCTCCCACATTTTTCTTTAACGTCATTATTAATTATCACTCACTTATTGTGTGTAATTAGTGAGAAGATTTTACTTAAAAACATGAAAATGTGGTAATTGCGCTGCTGACACCTTACTTTTCTCCGTCATCAGGCTCCAGTTAGAATTGGTATAATACTCAAAAGTTGACAATTTTGAATTTCTGTTCAAATCTGTAATTTATAACTTCTTAACTAAGTGACCTGTGACAGTTGAACCTTTGATCTGATCAGTCTTTGGGCTCTTTTTTTTTTTTTTTTTTTTTTTTTTTACCACCAGAGCGGCACTGGTTTAAGTTCCAACCTGTATTTGATGCTGCCATGTCACTGTTACCACTTCTCTTCCTAGACTACAAGAGCCCATCCATCTTTTGCATTTAGGTCCCATATAATCTCATATCAATCCACGTAAATTTTGGGCTTTGTCGGTGCACAGGTCTAGGTGTGGCAGTTGTCACAATGTACCCTTGTTATGTTTCTGAAAAGTTTAATGAAGTTCCATAATTGTTATAGCTATCTATAAACATTTGAACTATTTAGCATCATCTTGATCAACACCAAACTGAAAGGTGTGACTTGTCATCAACATAAGTCCCTATAAGAGAGTATTTGAAAGCTACTCGTACATTTGTATCTATTGGCAGTTTGTTTCTATATTATGCTGAAAATCATCAATATACCTGTTGGTGATCTTAATTCTCATTAGTGTCTCTTTCTTTTTTTACAGGCTGTCGCTTTGAAATCTCATTGTGTGATTTTGACGAAAAATGCACCGATGGTAAGTAAATTAGTAAACTTAATCCTGTTACAGATAAATCTTAGATAATTAAACATAATTATTATAGTGCTCTTGAAAATAACCATGCTCTTATATTGATACAGTAGCAGATGATTTTAATATACTTTTAGATGTCTTTTGGTGTAATATTTATAATGATAATGATAATGAAAGTTCTTTAAAACCATACATCAATATGTATAACTAGAAGAAAAAAAAACATACCATTTGGAATTATCAGTTATTAGGGAAAATAACTGAAACTAGAACATTGTTTGAGATTTATCATTCAATTTTTCATTTTTGTACTGTATATATTCTGTTGTTTCTGAGTCGTTCACTTGTGTGCCCACTGTGCGCTCCGGGTCTGTCAGCTAGTACGTTTTTTTTTTTTATAAAGAACGTTCATGAGTGATAGACGCATTCTGCCCTTATGTAGTATGATGCAGGAGCATGTCAAATGGAGGAAAGATATCATTGTATTTCCATATTACCAAGAATGGAAAGCATCAATTACATCAAAAATTGATTTTAGGTTCGCGGAAGATTAAATGTGAAATGGCTTTTTAGTCCGTGACATTCAGTTATTTTTCACTGAAACATACATCTTGCTCAAGATTCCCTGTGGGGATGTGCTATAGCTTTTGAAGTCTGCTAGTCTGCTTTAACCCGCGCGCACATTAGACAGCCAATTAGTATAGCAATATCTCTTTAAGCCGGATATAACAATATCGATCCAGGGTGCCATTTTAGCACTGCACATTTTTTTCCTAGCTCTGCAGATTTCACACATTGGGTGCAGTTTGCTTAATTGGGTTCAGATTGATTTTAAGAAGAAATATGAAAAGGTGGGCAGAAAGCTCAGATGAAATGTCATTATTATAGTTTTTGTGAACATGATATGTATAACGCTCCTCTTCACTCCATCATAATAAAACGGCATGGCTGTATAATACATCAAATTTCAGTTATTTGGAAGTTGGGCCATGAATTTCAGACATTTATTTAAATTCTGATCACTGTTTCTTTGTTAACCTGGTACCTGGTACATTCTTAAACCCTGCCGTTGGGTCCTTAAGGATCAGTGGTCTGAGTAGTTTTGGTCATAGCCTAAATATACGGTATAAAACCCCAAAAAGAAATGCTTGTTGGTGGTGCCATCTATACTTTTGTATATTTACAATTTTTGGCCACAGATACAAGTGCATGCAGATTGAGCTGATCAAGCTAATTATTAAGGCTCATTTGGAGACAATATTTACAAAAAAAAAAAAAATAATAATAATAATAATAAAAAGAAAATTATATTAAAATAGGTCTAACTTTTGTGAGCATTTTTACTTTATTTGAACAATATGCATTCCATTACTAATACTTAAGTGAGGCAGTCAGTACAATGGGTGCTAGGTTTGTTTCACACCATGCTATACATATACTTATTTATTTTGTACTATTTAGAAAGATTTAATAGTCTAGTTTTTACATAAGGAAGTCATCTAAATAGATGTCAAGTCCAATTATTTCGTTAAAGTGTTTCAATTGGAAACAGTGCTCCTGGATGACCAAGGGAATGTACCAATAACATAATTGTCTTAGACAGAGTGGGGATATTTCTGCTCAAAGTGCGGTCCACAGAAATAACACACTGTGTTGCAGACAGTTTCATCGATATTGCATTAATTCGATTTTTACGGAAGACAATCAGCAATCAAGTTATAAACCCTTTGTGTATGTCTGCAATGAGCTGGCCTTGCAATGCATATCGGTATATTTTACCTGGAACAGCTAACTTCCATTGATGATAATTAATATTGGCCTTTCTACAAACATTTACCTTAAGTGATTTTCCGTGTTTTTCTCTCAAGGCAGAGGGATTAACTTCTGGTATATTGCCATGATGTAACCCTGACAAAATTGGTCTATACTAAGTTAAATATTCAGTAATTGTATTAAGGCGTAGCAATTAGGTGCATTGTCTCTTCTGTGGTGTCACTGGTTCATTTGGTGAAGGGGTACATGTATATATGCAGGCTCATGTACACTTTTTTCACCTCGGTAAGGAAAAATAGCACCATTAATTGTCACCAGATATAATTGATAAATAGAATACGGTTGTTCATTATTTAAAGATTCTGTCAATTTATCTAAAATGTCCCTATTTTAGTCACTAGGATTTGATGGCAAAGCAAAGTATTTTGGGTTTTCCCAGTTACCAGAATTAGAGCAACCATTAGTAGGGTTTTTAAGGCACTAATTGTGCAAACATTCTCATGTAAAGAGCCGTTCTCTTATCAGCATATTTGTTTTTTTCATACATTGCAGTTAACACACTACCTGTATCATATGTTACCATGGTACCTGTCATACTTTTGAAATAGCAAGTAATATTTTATGGAAAATTAAAATTTGGGAATGACACACCCTAATTGAAACTGATAATGGAAATCTCATTTAATAAGAAATAAACTGTTTTCTTTGTCGTATATTGCTTTTACATTTCTTATTTTTGATAAATAAGACCCTTGACATGTTTGAAATGTCTGTACCAGTATTTCAGGTTTGGTTTTCTATTTTTAATTAGCTAAGTCAATTAAGGTTTCATTTTGGTTAGAAATTTAGTAATTTCTTAAAGTTAGTCTCTTTATTTTCTTCAGATTTGGTATTTGGATACTGTGTAAAGAGAAATGAGGGTCCCAACTGGAGACTGGCCAACAGCAAGCTGGAACTAGATCCCATTACAACGAAGCTCTTAGAACAAGAAATTCGCCACCTTATACGTTACGGATATACCTGGGATGATCCGTACACCCAGTGCATTCTGGGCAATTTCATCAGTTCGTATAAAAATGCTGAGAGGTATGAACGAACGTTGTGTTATATTTATGCTAAGCAGGCACGGGACATTGATGATATTAGCGCAACCCTGAAGAACGATTACTCAGAAAATCTTGGTTCATTTTTTAACAACTACTTAGTCAATACAGAGAAAAGAGTACAGGATGAACAACCATATGACCCCAGTACCAGTCGCCATCGAGTGCATAAATATTACCAGGCATACCCAGCTGGGTATTCATCCAACGATTTGGCGGAATCGTACAATGTATCTCCTCGACGCCGTAGATACAGAAATTTCAATCCCAATATGTATGGGGAAATACAAAAGAAAGAGAAATCTCCAATAACAAATGGTGCTGCTTTGAGTCCAGAAGATCTTGAAGACCTCAATAATTATCTGACTGCACTGCAAGATATTGGTGATGAGGACCAATATGGTGATCAATATGATCAATATGGCGACCTGTATGATGCTCACAAAGAAGATGGGAAGGAAACTGATCGTAAATGGTTGGCCGAACCAGATAACACTGACAGTTTAGAAGGTAATTATGTTAGACATAATGGTAAGTATAATAGCAATTGGTGCAAGAATTCCTACTATCAGTTTATTCCAATTTTTGACGATATTCAGTTTGGGTATCAAACATTTTCTAAAACACAGAAGGGTTTGGTATAGCTAGTATAGCCATTAGATGATTTCTCTGATAGTTTAAGTATATTTAGTAGGGGTGGATTCCAACAAGGTTTCAAAGGAGGACAGATTTCTTTTCCCTTCCCCTGGCTATATATGAGGTCTTCTTGATGCTTTTGCTTTGAAAAAAAAAAGGAGATTTGATCTTGTTAATACAAACAGCACACACCACATAGACCATCCCTGTAAGTGTCTCCAAAGAGAATACTCCTATTGGCCAAGGAAACAACCTGGGCATGCTGTGGACACCAGTGTGACAGATTCTTGGTCTACAGATCTTTAGTCCAGGAATATGGTTCAAACAGAAACCTCATAACTTCTTCTCAGGCAGGTATAAAGAAGTTAAAAAGTATTTACAGGCCCGTAGCCAGCCAGCAGTGTCAAATGAAGGTTATTTTTCTGAAAAAGTGAACCTTTTACTAGGAAACCTTTGTGTACTGAGATCAAATTGACCCTTTCCCAGCAAAAAGGGCAGTGTGTTCAAGCCCCCTAGCTATGGGTCTGATTTATATCTATTTCGAGTATTTTACACAGGCCATATGTAGAACTTATGTATGTACGTTGTGCAGTAAAAAGTTGAGTGAATATAACATATGTTAAGCAGGAAAAGTATTATCAATATCGTGTATGTTCATGATTTTTAAGTTTATGACTGTATCAAGATTTTTATATCAATACATGTCAAATCAGTGATGAAACATATTCATCTTTGACCTAAGTTTACCTCCACTGTGATTGGACAAAATTTCTTTATAGATTTCTTTATAGATTCTCTACAGAGCAAAGTTATTGGCACTCAGAAAGTATGAGTGTTCTTATAGTAACGGAGATCAATGTAAACAATATATTTCTTGGTTGGAACTTGTGGGAAAATGTCTTAATTACTGGGTCAAAGATAGGGCAAAGTGATGCAACAGAGCAGATGGGCATATTGTTAAGTAGTACAGAGCTGCATTTGTAAATCATACAATTAACATTTTTCAATCACATCATATTGTAAACTTCACCAAGGACAGCTGTGGGAATTTTCCTCTGTCTGGAGGATATCCTCTGTCAATTATCAGTTAAATAAAAAGTGAGAAGCTGTTTGATTCTATATGCAATATACCCTGTATATACTAGGGGAAAGAGCAATAACTGAAGTAGAAGTTTTGGAAAGGACTGTGTTTTTCTCCATTTTTCTTAGAATTTCTTCAAGTTTTCTTTTCCTATTCCTATATTGGTTGAAAATGAAAGAAATAAGTTTACAAATTTACACACTGTTCAGACAAAATCTACTACCCTGTACATGTAGGTATATAGTAGGGATGGACCTAAGAGATATTTTCCAAGTCTTTGTAATTAATTTGTTGATTCCTCTTCCATTTTTGACCGTCTACTGACACATAAACTTAAAAAATTCTGACCGTCTTCCAGAATACCCAGAAGAAGGCCTACATCCGCCCCTTTCTTGGAATTGAGGCCCAACATACTTGTGTCAGAAGGCACCCAGGTTTACACTACATGCACCGCCAACTTTTATTTCCTGAAAGATGGGTTTACAATGAAGCCATGTTGTTTGTTAAGACAGAATATGATCTCTGTAATCTAATGATCATCTGCTTATGCATAGATGTCAAGACTTCATACAGTTTCAAGGAGCCTTTTTCGATAATTTGAATACATTATGTGACGCACGAATGTACAATTACATTTGTATTGTTATGCCTTCATCCTTAGAGAATGAAAAGCATCCTAAGCTGTGTTTGTAGAGGTATTGGGAGCAATTTCTATTTCTGAAGATGATTTCAGAACTGAACTTGCATGAACCAACACTTAATTCTCACTGACGTCACAAAATATCCATCTAGTGTAATTGAATATCAAGACATATAGAGCATGATGGGGGTACCTTAGTAGGCTCATAGCAAGGGGGGGATGAATGAGCTGCCCTTAATGCCGAGAAAAGGTCTGCTTTAGGTAAAATTTGAACTAGGTGCATGATGTTTTTTTGGTCCATTTTTTAAGAAAAAGAACCCCCTTTTGAAATTGCTGGCAAAGGGCCTGCTTAATGAGGCTTGATGACAGTTGTACACCAGAGGGTACTCATGTGAGACTCCTTTCACTGTCCCACATGGTTGACCCAGCATGTGACTATAACACAGGTGAATAGATGAAATATGCTGGCACATATACTGCTATAGAGACCCGGCCTGTTTCACACAAGAATTAAAACAAAAATTGCTGTTGATTTTAAGAGAAATAAAAAAATGAGAAATCGATGAAAACCGGAAGTGCATGTTTTTTGCACTGTTTTTCCTGTCATGCCCATCGTAACCACTGTCTTGTCAAGTAAAATGAAGCGTCTGATACAAAGTATCAAACGCAGCATTCATGTGCTTGCTTGCGATGCATTCAGCACACTTTGTTTACACTGACAAGTCGAGGTCAGAAATGCACAATGTTTTTCTATGTAATTACGCAGTTTCAATTTTGATCAGCAAATTTTCTTTTATCTGCATGGTCATTTTCCGAACATTTGTATAAGCCACGAAATATTTCTCATCGGAAAATCACCCAGCAGCTTTCCAAGTACAAGCGAGTGACGTCATGACGCACTTCCGGTTTTCGTCGAGATCTTGAGGGGATTAGCGTTACGGTTTGCTGCACATTTAAAGCGTTCTGTCTCAAAATGTACTCAACTGCTTGGATTGAAATTTACAGAACTTATTCCTCACATGATATCACACATATGTGCTTAATTTGAGAGCTTTAGCTGTTATATGTTTTATACAGTGCCCATTCAAATTTGAAAAAGAGCTTTTTTCCGTCGATTTCTTGAAGGGCAAGTCTACTTCCATTCCTGATAAATCAGTTTAGTAAAGCCCTGATAAATCAGTTAGCTATATCTTCATTTAACATACATCTGTATCCCTCAGACCCTGTTTGCATTCAGGTCATGAGCCAATTTTCTTTTTGCTAGTACTATTTTTCTAACAACCCAGAATCATGTTTGACAATATGACTTTACCTCAGCTTTCACAGGTCTTCATTGATCTGACATTTCCGGGAAATTTCCAGAGATTATTGTAGAACCCCTGACATTGATACTGTTACACACTTGCAAAATTTGCATTTAATTAACATATTAACAAAGGGCTGCTAAGAAGTGAATTGTGTGACAATATTGTTCATGCATATACACATTTATATAAATATAATTTCAAAGAAAACTTCCTAAGCAGTCACCTTAGCACGGTGAATCTCCCTATGTGAAACATGAAAACCTAATACAACATTGCCTACAGCCTAGCCTTGTATATCAGATTGTTAATCCCTTTACCCAGAGAAGTTTTTGATTCCATATTAGTTTTTATCATCATTATAGTGATTTTTAATTATTTAAAATAAGACCAGATTGCAAAATGCAAGACAATATGAGGTTGATCTACCTCCCCTGAATGTAAAGTGATAAAAGTTGAAAACATAAGGGCCAAGTCAAAATGAAAATAATATGCAATTTTCTTTATCCAGGAATTCAGAAATAGAAACAAAAAACCCTCTAGAGGCAGTTCAATTTGCAAAGAATACAGAAATAGAAACAAAAAACCCTCTAAAGGCACTTCAATTTGCCAAGAATTATCATGCTTGTTTTTGCTGTCTCTTTTACAGAGTTACCATGGCAGCAAGTTAGAAGTGAAGACAAGTCAGATGAGTTGCCATGGGAACCAGACAAAGCCCAAGACAGGCCAGGGGAATCCCCATGGGATTCGGACCAAACCGGAGAAGATGAAAATGATTGGTTTGGTGAGAGTGAAGACAAACTGACCCCACTTGACCAAGCCGTAGACAGTAGTGCCCGCAGTGGTCTTGTAGATGATGGTGATCATATGCATAAATTATTATATACATAGCACATGACTGCATGCTTTTTACCTGTTTGTATGCATGTGAGCATCTCTGTGTGTGTATTAAGTAATTTGGCTACCTGGTTACTAAATCCTGAGAAAGTTTTCATCACATGTTATAATGGAGGTCAGGGGGGGGGGGCACATTAGAGTATGTATGTGTGTGTGCGTTTTCATCATGTTATATACTGGGGAAGTGGAAATAGGACACATTGATTGTGTGTGTGTTTATGTGTGTGTTTAGAAATTTGCCTGGTTGCAAAATCCTTAGATAGTTTTCATCACATTTTTTTTTTTTTTGTTTGTTTTTTTTTTTTTTTTTTTTTTTTTTTTGGTTGGGGGTGGGGGGGGGNCTAGCCAGGAAATTTCCAATTGTATATTAATCTTCTTTCATTAAACTAAATGTCAGTTTTCATATTCAGCTTACAGTAAGTTGAGTAGAATCCTTGGCAACCACATCCTATTTTGATGTGCTTTTCAGTGTTCTATAAAAGGTTGCATTTCCCATAACAGTGTAACTCTATCGTTACACTTTCATTAGATTACATATGATATTTGTCAGGAAGTGGAGTTGTTATTGAATCCACACTTCATAAGGTCATGAGTGTGTCTAGCAAGAAATTTGTGTCTTTCAGATGTTTCAAATGTTAAATAAATCTTGACAATTTACATATTATATAACAATCCACATATTTAAGATACAAGTACAAATGAAGATTTAAACTTTCTAACTTTGAAAAAGGAGAAATACAACTCAGGAAGCAGCCATTTTTCTCATGTTTATGTATACGAAAGGGTGCAATATGTACCATATTCAAAGTGAATTAGATATTTGTAAACATATACCCGTCATTGTTTTTTCAGTTGCACATCCAAGTGATAGTATTCCACCAGAAGATGCAAAGCTGTTGGATGATATTTTAGAAGGTAGGGGCATGTATGTAGATCACGGTTTTAAAGTAGTGAATTTTCTGCAGTATGTTACTTATATTTGCCAGAGAATGTATGGATCAGAAGTTTTATAATGGTTCAGTGATTGTTTCACGAAATATAAGTGCAAGATGGAAAATAACTAAAGAACCTCCCTCCANCGATTTTTGACGATATTCAGTTTGGGTATCAAACATTTTCTAAAACACAAGAAGGGTTTGGTACAGCTAGCCATTAGATGCTTTCTCTGATAGTTTAAGTACATTCAGTAGGGGTGGATTCCAACAAGGTTTCAAAGGAGGACAGATTTCTTTTCCCTTCCCCTGTCTGTGAGGTCTGTCTTGCTGCTTTTGCTTTGAAAATGAAAGGGGATTTGATCTACAAACAGCACACACAACTTAGACCATCCCTGTAAGTGTCTACAAAGAGAATACTCCTGTGGGCCAAGGAAACAACCTGGGCATGCTGTGGACACCAGTGTGACAGATTCTTGGTGTACAGGGTCTTTAGTCCAGGTTCAAACAAAAACCTCGTAACTTCTCAGGCAGGTATAAAGAAGTTGAAAAGTATTTACAGGCCTGTAGCCAGCCAGCAGTGTCAAACGAAGGTTATTTTTCTGAAAAAGTGAACCTTTTACCTTTGTGTACTGAGATCAAATGGACCTTTTCCCAGCAAAAAGGGCAGTGTGTTCGAGCCCCCCTAGCTATGGGTCTGATTTGTATCTATTTCGAGTTTTTTACACAGGCCATATGTAGAACTTGTGTCTGTATGTTGTGCAATAAACAGTTGAATGAATATAACATGTTAATCAGGAAAAGTATTAACAATATCATGTATGTTCATGATTTTTAAGTTTATGACTGTATCAAGATTTTTATATCAATACATGTCAAATCAGTGATGAAACATATTCATCTTTGACCTAAGTTTACCTCCACTGTGATTGGACAAAATTTCTTTATAGATTTCTTTATAGATTCTCTACAGAGCAAAGTTATTGGCACTCAGAAAGTATGAGTGTTCTTATAGTAACGGAGATCAAAGTAAACAATATATTTCTTGGTTGGAATTTGTGGGAAAATGTCTTAATTACAGGGTCAGAGATATAGCAAAGTGATATATAACAGAACAGATGGGCATATTGTTAAGTAGTATAAAGCTGCATTTTTAAACCACACAATTAACATTTTTTTCAAATTGTAAACTTCACCAAGGACAGCTGTGGGGATTTTCCTCTGTCTGGAGGATATCCTCTGTCAATTATCAGTTAAAGAGAAAGTGAGAAGCTGTTTGATTCTATATGCAATATATTCTAGGGAAAGAGCAATAATTGAAGTAGAAGTTTTGGAAAGGACTGTGTTTTTTTTCCATTTTTCTTAGAATTTCTTCAAATTTTCTCTTCCCATTCCTATATTGGTCGAAAATGAAAGAAATAAGTTTACAAATTTACACTCTGTTCAGACAAAATCTGCTACCCTGTAAATGTAGGTATATAGTAGGGATGGACCTAAGAGATATTTTCCAAGTCTTTGTAATTATTTTGTTGATTCCTCTTCCATTTTTGATTGTCTACTGACACATAAACTTAAAAAATTCTGACCCTCTTCCAGAATACTCAGAAGACGGCCTCCATCCACCCCTTTCTTGGAATTGAGGCCCAACGTACTTGTGTCAGAAGGCACCCAGGTTTACACTACATGCACCGCCAACTTTTATTTCCTGAAAGATGGGTTTACAATGAAGCCATGTTGTTTGTTAAGACAGAATATGATCTCTGTAATCTAATGATCATCTGCTTATGCATGGATGTCAAGACTTCATACAGTTTCAAGGAGCCTTTTTCGATAATTTGAATACATTATGTGACGCACGAATGTACAATTACATTTGTATTGTTAGGCCTTCATCCTTAGAGAATGAAAAGCATCCTTAGCTGTGTTTGTAGAGGTATTGGGAGCAATTTCTATTTCTGAAGATGATTTCAGAACTGAACTTGCATGAACCAATACTTAATTCTCACTGACGTCACAAAATATCCATCTAGTGTAATTGAATATCAAGACATATAGAGCATGATGGGGGTACCTTAGTAGGCTCATAGCAAGGGGGGGATGAATGAGCTGCCCTAAATGCCGAGAAAAGGTCTGCTTTAGGTAAAATTTGAACTAGGTGCATGATGTTTTTTTGGTCCATTTTTTTAAGAAAAAGAACCCCCTTTTGAAATTGCTGGGAAAGGGCCTGCTTAATGAGGCTTGATGACAGTTGTACACCAGAGGGTACTCATGTGAGACTCCTTTCACTGTCCCACATGGTTGACCCAACAAGTTACTATAACACAGGTGAATAGATGAAATATATGCTGGCACATATACTGCTATAGAGACCCGGCCTGTTTCACACAAGAATTAAAACAAAAATTGCTGTTGATTTTAAGAGAAATAAAAAAATGGGTCTAGACTCGCCCTTCAAGAAATCGACGAAAACCGGAAGTGCGTGTTTTTTGCACTGTTTTTCCTGTCATGCCCATCGTAACCACTGTGTTGTCAAGTAAAATGAAGCGTCTGATACAAAGTATAAAACGCGGCATTCATGTGCTTGCTTGCGATGCGTTCAGTACACTTTGTTTACACTGACAAGTCGAGGTCAGAAATGCACAATGTTTTTCTATGTAATTACGCAGTTTCAATTTTGATTAGTAAATTTTCTTTTATCTGCATGGTCATTTTCCGAACATTTGTATAAGCCACGAAATATTTCTCATCGGAAAATCACCCAGCAGCTTTCCAAGTACAAGCGAGTGATGTCATGACGCACTTCCGGTTTTCGTCGAGATCTTGAGGGGATTAGCGTTACGGTTTGCTGCACATTTAAAGCGTTCTGTCTCAAAATGTACTCAACTGCTTGGATTGAAATTTACAGAACTTATTCCTCACATGATATCACACATATGTGCTTAATTTGAGAGCTTTAGCTGTTATATGTTTTATACAGTGCCCATTCAAATTTGAAAAAGAGCTTTTTTCTGTCGATTTCTTGAAGGGCAAGTCTACTTCCATTCCTGATAAATCAGTTTAGTAAAGCCCTGATAAATCAGTTAGCTATATCTTCATTTAACATACATCTGTATCCCTCAGACCCTGTTTGCATTCAGGTCATGAGCCAATTTTCTTTTTGCTAGTACTATTTTTCTAACAACCCAAAATCATGTTTGACAATATGACTTTACCTCAGCTTTCACAGGTCTTCATTGATCTGACATTTCCGGGAAATTTCCAGAGATTATTGTAGAACCCCTGACATTGATACTGTTACACACTTGCAAAATTTGCATTTAATTAACATATTAACAAAGGGCTGCTAAGAAGTGAATTGTGTGACAATATTGTTCATGCATATACACATTTATATAAATATAATTTCAAAGAAAACTTCCTAAGCAGTCACCTTAGCATGGTGAATCTCCCTATGTGAAACATGAAAACCTAATACAACATTGCCTACAGCCTAGCCTTGTATATCAGATTGTTAATCCCTTTACCCAGAGAAGTTTTTGATTCCATATTAGTTTTTATCATCATTATAGTGATTTTTAATTATTTAAAATAAGACCAGATTGCAAAATGCAAGACAATATGAGGTCGATCTACCTCCCCTGAATGTAAAGTGATAAAAGTTGAAAACATAAGGGCCGAGTCAAAATGAAAATAATATGCAATTTTCTTTATCCAGGAATTCAGAAATAGAAACAAAAAACCCTCTAGAGGCAGTTCAATTTGCAAAGAATACAGAAATAGAAACAAAAAACCCTCTAAAGGCACTTCAATTTGCCAAGAATTATCATGCTTGTTTTGCTGTCTCTTTTACAGAGTTACCATGGCAGCAAGTTAGAAGTGAAGACAAGTCAGATGAGTTGCCATGGGATCCAGACAAAGCCCAAGACAGGCCAGGGGAATCCCCATGGGAGTCGGACCAAACTGGAGAAGATGAAAATGATTGGTTTGGTGAGAGTGAAGACAAGCTGACCCCACTTGACCAAGCTGTAGACAGTAGTGCCCGCAGTGGTCTTGTAGATGATGGTGATCATATGCATAAATTATTATATACATAGCACATGACTGCATGCTTTTTACCTGTTTGTATGCATGTGAGCATCTCTGTGTGTGTATTAAGTAATTTGGCCACCTGGTTACTAAATCTTGAGAAAGTTTTCATCACATGTTATAATGAAGGTCGGGGGGGGGGGGGGGGGCGGCACATTAGAGTATGTATGTGTGTGTGCGTTTTGCCTGCATGGTTGCCGAAATGTTAGTTTTCATCATGTTATATACTGGGGAAGTTGCAATAGGACACATTGATTGCGTGTGTGTGTTTATGTGTGTGTGTGTGTGTGTTTAGAAATTTGCCTGGTTTCAAAATCCTTAGATAGTTTTCGTCACATTTTTTTTGTTTTTTTTTTTTTTTTTTTTTTTTTTTTTTTTTGGGGGGGGGGGGGGGGGGGGGGCACAGGCATGGGGCACACTAGCCAGGAAATTTCCAATTGTATCTTAATCTTCTTTCATTAAACTAAATGTCAGTTTTCATATTCAGCTTATAGTAAGTTGAGCAGAATCCTTGGCAACCACATCCTATTTTGATGTGCTTTTCAGTGTTCTATAAAAGGTTGCATTTCCCATAACAGTGTAACTCTATTGTTACACTTTCATTAGATTACATATGATATTTGTCAGGAAGTGGAGTTGTTATTGAATCCACACTTCATAAGGTCATGAGTGTGTCTAGCAAGAATTTTGTGTCTTTCAGATGTTTCAAATGTTAATTAAATAAATCTTGACAATTTACATATTATATAACAATCCACATATTTAAGTTACAAGTACAAATGAAGATTTAAACTTTCTAACTTTGAAAAAGGAGAAATACAACTCAGGAAGCAGCCATTTTTCTCATGTTTATGTATACGAAAGGGTGCAATATGTACCATATTCAAAGTGAATTAGATATTTGTAAACATATACCCGTCATTGTTTTTTCAGTTGCACATCCAGGCGATAGTATTCCACCAGAAGATGCAAAGCTGTTGGATGATATTTTAGAAGGTAGGGGCATGTATGTAGATCACGGTTTTAAAGTAGTGAATATTCTGCAGTATGTGACTTATATTTGCCAGAGAATGTATGGATCAGAAGTTTTATAATGGTTCAGTGATTGTTTCACGAAATATAAGGGCAAGATGGAAAATAACTAAAGAAAATCCCGACCCCCCCC